GCTGCACAGCGACACAGCGGTGAGTACGTCGCCAAGCAACTGGAGCAGTGGCTGCGCCAGCACGGCACTGCACACACCCACTCGGCGCCGTACAACCCAGAGCAGAACGGAGCGGTGGAGCGACTCAACCACACACTCTTCGACCGTGTGCGGGCGATGCTGCATGACACAGCACTCCCGGTCAGCTACTGGCTGGAGGCTGCACTCTACACCAACCTCCTGCACAATGTGGCCCCCTCTCAGGGCTGGGAGGCCACACCGTGGGCAGCTTATCACGGTGTCCCCCCCGACGTCAGCCACCTCCACACCTTCAGCTGCCTGGCCTACATCCGCATCCCAGCCAGACAGCAGGACAAACTCAGTCCTCGTGCAAAGGCGGGAACCTACCGCTGACCGGAGCATGGCATGGCCACCCACCGCGTCCTCGTCAAGGGCAAGGTGACCGTGAGCAGCAACGTCACCTTCGATGACGACCGCCACGGCCCGGTTCACAACAGGCGGGCACCCTCTTCGGCACTAGCCCCGCCTGCCCCGGCGGCAGGGACACTATCGGCGGCTCTACACCGCCCGCCATGCTGCCGACCCCAGCGGCTACCCTGCCCCCGGCGACCCCAACAACACCCCTTCCATCGCAACACCCGCAATCAACGGCAGGCCCTGCACCCGCCGCTGGCCCCGGTCAGTGACGGCCTGTCCCCCCGACAGCAGCAGCAGTGGCGGCGGCGGAGAGTCGGGAAGTCCACCGCTGCTCGGGTGGTAGCGCTGACAGCGCTAAGTCTAACATGCCCGACGGCAGCGGCGGTGGCAGAGGCAACAGCGCGGTGCACACTGCCAACGACATGCTGGTGACGGCGGACAACTTGCAACCTGCCCAGTTTAAATGGGGGGGACTAACGGCTCAACTCGACTGTAATCACAAATTTAGATGCTTAATTGTCCATACTGACATTCTCCTTACACTTCGTCAATTGCGTATACTTTACTGTTGCAACAACTAGCAATGTGTGGGCAATTTGCACTGTACGACCAATGCAAGAAAACAAACCGTTTCAATCATTGGAAAAGGCACACAGACCACATGCTTGCTATTGCCAGCCGATAAAAACTTTCGCCTAAAGCTTTCCAAGAACAAGGGGCAGGAGAGAGGGGAAAGTGCGGGGAAGTGGGGCGGCAGCCCCACGACCCCGCACATCCCCCCCAAGACCACCTGGCCACCGACAGGCAATCATGATAGGAATGAGCGGGAGCCAAGGGAACATTTAAAAGCATGATTGGATTCAAAAATGGTCTCGTCTCCCTGGAGTGTTTAGCCGCACGAGACTACCTTATAGTCTCGTGCTAACAAGCTAAACATCCTAAACATCACTACAATGGCACTTAAGATTGCACTCCGGATTGATAGGGATTTGGATTCTGTTAAACTTTTCTTGGATCGGTGCAGCGGATTCGGAGTCCGCGAGGTTGCGGGTTCCAATGAGCATTGGCATTTTTTAGTGGAGACTGATTCTTATCGGAACATTCAGAGCTTTAGGGTAGCATTGACTCGGAAGATTCCCACTCTGAAGGGAAATGCTTGTTATAGTGCTACGGTCGTTAGCGATTTGGAGAAGTACGAGAGATATTTGGCGAAGGGTGAAAGCGAGGGAGCTGGTCCTGAGGTTGTTTGGCGGCATTCTTTGAAGTATACAGATGAGAAAATTGAAGAGCTTCATATTGGATATTGGACTGAGAATAAGCGTCTTCGTAAGCGGAAAGCTGGTTCCGTTATCGATGCAGTCATCGATATCGCGAAGGACGAGAACGTTCATTGGGAACGTCGGGAGAAGCTGGCCGAGCTGTATTTGAAAGAGGTGGTGTCTCGGAATCGTCCTGTGAACATTTTCGCGGCAAGGAGTGCCGTGAATACGATCCAGATCCAACTTTGTCCGGATGACACTGCTATAAAACGGTTCTCTGAGATGATTTGAGGTAAGTAGCAAGATGGCGTCTCCTATCTATACTTACAACTACATGTTTGCTGGTCCTCTTGATGTTCGTGATTATCTAGACTTGCCGCGGTCTGATAAGCGTGCAGTGTGTGCGATGGCTTCCCAAATGAATCCCATTCAGTATAGTTTCATTTACGGTTTTGAGCCATGGAGAGCGAACTCGTTGATGCGGTACTTGATTTTTGAGGCCGCTAGATATCGGTTTGCCCGTGGATGGTTTGTTTTCTCGACCTTGTTTCCAGAGCTTCCGGATATCGTTGATATGACCAGAGAGATTGCAGATTTGACTAATGCTGATGGACCACGGATTTGCCATCAGTGTGCACTGTCTGATGAGCTCTGCTTGTGCGGCCTCCCGCGTAATTTGGCGCCTGCATTCGATGCTGTTGCTGGAAATGCTCGGCGCCGTCAGAATGGTCGTCGTCGTCGGCGTGACTCTGCGTGACCTGGTGAGTATCCTGCGAATTGTGCTGCGGTGACTGCGTGTTGTGTGCGGTGGAAGCGGAGAAGTCTGCGTGGGGGGGAAGCGGTTCTGCGTTGTGAGAGGCGGTTAGGATTCGGGGCCAAATATCTCTCGTACTTCTCCAAATCGCTAACGACCGTAGCACTATAACAAGCATTTCCCTTCAGAGTGGGAATCTTCCGAGTCAATGCTACCCTAAAGCTCTGAATGAATCAGTCTCCACTAAAAAATGCCAATGCTCATTGGAACCCGCAACCTCGTGGACTCCGAACCCGCTGCACCGATCCAAGAAAAGTTTAACAGAATCCAAATCCCTATCAATCCGGAGTGCAATCTTAAGTGCCATTGTAGTGATGTTTAGGATGTTTAGCTTGTTAGCACGAGACTATAAGGTAAGGTAGTCTCGTGCGGCTAAACACTCCAGGGAGACGAGACCATTTTTGAATCCAATAATAGTTACAATTACGACAAATTCTGATGACACATTCTCATCACACAATCATAGGATGGATGGATGGCCGTACTAAAGGCTGTACCTTTTACAGCCAGGCCACGAACAACAATAAACAACCGACTCAACGGGTGTACCGATGTATCGTTAACACCAGGAGTGACAGCATTATCAGAAGTCAACATATTCACACGGTCTTTCTTATTCCAAGCATACAAACAAACCTTATTGAGACGACAGAAGAAATTAACTTCCTTGAAACGAGTATTTACAGTCTCAGTTGTCTCCTTAGGATCCATACTAAAGACCACCCGCTTCAACACACGAATGTGACGACGCATCGACGTATCCAACGGCTCGATGGGATTATAAACACACTTCTTCGAATAATACTGCCAAAAAGCAGTACGCAAATCGCCAACAACAGTATTAACTGGATAATTAGGCACTATATCCTGACTAGTAAAACGACATAGCTCTATACTAATCCTAGTTGGATAAGTCGTCGGAGCATAAAACAAAAACTTAGCACTAACCCATTTCAACATACTCCGACCACCAGGGAACGTATCCAAAGAATTCAAACTATTTGGAGCACTCTCAACAGTAAGAGTAGAAAAAGAATCAAAGGAAGCCGTAGCACCATCAGTCTCATTAGAAAACTTCAACCTAAGCCTGATATCGGGATTAACAACAGTACCGTTGTTCACATTAACCATACTAGTCACATCATAACAATGCACAGGAGCAACCAACTCGGCACCAACTGCAGTCTGAACGGTACCTAAAGTAACAGCACCACTGGTACCACCAAACTGACTAGTTAGATGAATACCAACTATCGTCTTCTCGGTAGCAGCCCTAAGCGTCTTAAAAACAGAACGAAGATTAGGACGCATTGGCGCCATTGATTGCGAGGAATTGTAGAGTGGACGGGCAAAGGGATGGGAGGGGGGTTAGAAAGCTTTTTGCATGGTGGACTTGGAGAAGCACTGACCAGGGTGGCACGGCAGCCATTCACAGAGGTAGGTACGAGAAGTGCTTGCCGACAAGGCGGGGAAGACCCGCGAGATAATGCAAGGAAGTGAATGCAGGGCGAGTATGCGAGGTGCTGACAGGGTGCAGCAGGGCAGTGTTGCACCGAGGCTACCAAAGCAGGGAGAGCTAATGACTAACCGGGAATATTGTTCCATACTCACCTGCTGTGGGAATGGCTGCATCTGCGGTAGTGGGAGGCCAGGCTGGGTGCCGGAGATGTTCAATGACAACAGGTCTGGGCTGTTGACCTGAGATGTGCTGGGACCACTGCATGGGCAAGCCCTGGTCCCTGTAGTGCTGCAGCTCGGAGGTGATGCTCTGCGAAGCGGCCTGGGTGGCAGCATGGACATCGGCATCAAAGCGAAGAGACAGTGCACCCTGCAGGGGCTGCTGCATCGTTGCCATAAAGGCGTTATGGAGAGCAGAGAGTATATTGCCAGAAGGAATCGGCGAGGGTGACTGGTTCTGTGACATTTTCGGTTCGGTCAATGACCAGGCCGGCAAGCAGTCAGGGTTGTAGACTGAAAGTGTACAGAAGACCAGGTGCAAGTAGATTTCAAAAAGGAGCTCACAAAATTTTCGCGCTCAAGGTTATCGGACCTTATTGGCTGGTCCGGGGGTCCTATAACTTTTATGGACTTATTGGACTGCTAACAAGGCCCCTGTTTCCACATGGGCCCTACATTCTTCGCCGTTCCTTCGCCTTTCCACTTCTATCATACATTTATGTAGAATAAGTGATATTGCAAAAAAAAGTGAGCAAAGGTGAGGTGCCGGGTGAGAATTTTCAAAAATGTTGCTAACAAACTTTTCAGTGCAAACACCCTGTTAGCTGGCGGTGTGGTCTTTGGCAGTCTTGTAAGTTAATTAGGTTGATGTTTCTTCGCAAGATTGACCATGTTGTCATCTGCAGCCGCCTCACAACATACAATTAATGTAAGCATGTGTGGCATACATTGCAGCTGCAATGCACTGCAACCATGAACTGCTTGAAATTAATGTCTTTGCCTGCTGGATTATACATTCTATGCTACTGCTAATAATATAATAAATATGTTTCTTTTCATACATGTCCACAACGTTGAATATGCACTGGTCGGTCCCTCCATATTCACCATGCAGGAAAACATCGTGCATGTTTTCATTCTGCACAGGGCAAACAACAGCAAGAAGACCTCCATGGTATTGCCCAGTGGTACCATTAAGGTTGGCAAGGAGCTCAAGAAGCACATGGTCGTAGAGCTTCCAGTGCAGAGCTTACTTGGCAGATTCAACAAGCAGCAGGTCAAGGAGTGGGCTTTTGTAGCAGCTGACCGCTGAAAAGGTCTCTCGAGTTGCTGGCGGTCGCGCTCTGCGCGTATTTATAGCGCCGTACTGTGTACCGGCTGCTACATTCCCCCCCCTTTGAAGGGAACCGTCCCGGGCCCTTAGAGCCTCGTATGCCACCAGCCTGTGCCTACCTTCGCCTACCCTCGGGCAGTGGGTAATTACTCCACGTCACGTCATGTGCCGGCTCACATGCGCCTAGCCGTCTTCAGATTTTTCAGGCACAGAGACAGTCCAGTCGGTTCAGCTACTTTTATAATTTGTGCGATATTCGCTCTCTGAGTCGCCTCACCCGAATACCACTCGAACGTAATCGGTGGGGGTTGAACCGACGACTTCAGGATCGTGAATTTTCACGAGGTCTCGATACCAAATGTAGCAGCTGACCGCTGAAAAGGTCTCTCGAGTTGCTGGCTATCGCGCTCTGCGCGTATTTATAGCGCCGTACTGTGTACCGGCTGCTACAGCTTTCTCCCATGGCTGCACAAATGTTCTATGGAATGACTCCATGGTCCAGTACAAGGGCAAGCTGGCGTTGGTTGCTTAGAGAGGTTCCTTGATGAGCAGGGATACGGAGCAAGTGGGCAGCTGCAGTCTAGGGCTATGTGGTTCAGTGGTGTGTAGTAGGTGTTCACTAGAAAAAAAGGAAGCAGTGCAGTAGTAGTGTGGATCGGTCACAGGTGAAATTTGATGAAGAACATGTGTGTATAATTGCATGCCAAGATCAGGTACTGCTGTTGCTGTGATGATTTTGGTAGCAGCCTCCAGACTTGTAATAGAGACACTAGATGCCTGTACAGGCCAGCTGGCTGTGCACTATACTGCACAACTCCACATGATGAGCAAGTGAGGTGACCAGGGCGACCCAGACTGTTGTGTGTAATACATACATATGTATATAATTCAGGAAAAATGTGGTTTTGTGCCTACCCATGCAGTACAAGCTTCTATCCCCAATGATGGCAAATATATGCTGATGGCATGAATAATGAAGTCAGACAGCTTTCCAAAAAAAAGAGAATGTGTGATTTAACAGTGGACAGGGATCATGTAAAAGCTCATAACATTTACAGCGTCTGAACCTCAAAACAGCAATTAAAATCCTTAAACAGCAGTTCAGCAAGTTATCTAATGGCAACAGCCAGCTGCAGTAACATGATGGAACTTCCTTTTAGCATGTCCCTGCTCGTAACAGCTTTCAAGGCCTGTTAGCAACTACAGCCCTTGGCACCGCTTAACAGCTTAAGTGAATTGAACAATGGCTAACAATTGAACAATAGCTTCCCAAAACCCTAACAGCCATCAAAAATTCTTTCTCAGCATCTGGGTGACCCAACCAGAATGTAACATCCTGTCAACAATATCCTGTTGTGGCAGAAAGCGCTCTGTTACAGGTCCTTACAGCTGCTAACAGTCCCTAGAATCAGACAACTGTTAACAGTGTGGGCTCCAGGTATATGTCAGTCACAGGGCCAAACAGGACAAGACAGCCTCTAACCCAGTGTCTAACTGGCTGTTATGCCACGTTGACAACTATCGTCAGCAGCTGATAATGAGCCCGTCTAACAGCTCCACCTAAGAAGTTAGACGCTGTTAGACCCCCTATGAGTTGGTCGTTAACAACATGCTGGTGACAGCGGACAACCTGCAAGTGGTCGCGGCCACCAAGGCAGCCATCGCTGGTTGCTTCACAGTGCATGACCTTGGCGAGGCGCACTACTACCTCGGCATGAAGATCGTCCAGGATGACCGCAACTGCTGCATCGTGCTCACACAGCAGCACTATGTGGAGCAGCTGCTGCAGCACCACAGCCTGGAGAATGCCAAGCCGCGCGCCACCCTGCTGCCTCAGCGCATGTGTGCTCTGCCAGCCAGCGACGCTGTAGCAAGCTACATTTATCATGGGGGCCCCGGACTGCCGTACCGGCGTCCTGGACCGCGTCCTGGACCGCGCGCAGTCCAGGACGCAACCACCCAAAAATAGAACAACGAACTTTGCATATTTCTAATTATCCTGCTTCGCATTATGAAGGGAATAAAGACATTTATGCAATGACAGTTTGCGCGGCTACACCAAGAGATGTCCACAGTCAACCCCTGAAGACGCCCTGTTTGCTATGATCCAGCTAATTTTTACAATGAGGACACAGTAAAGATTTTGATGGTATAATTGATTTAGAGTGTTTTGCGGCCGTCGGGGACCTCGCCTTTGAATGTTAGCAGCAGGAAACAGAGCCTTGGAGCGGGAAACAGATGACGCTCTTGAAGCACAGAGGCGAGTCTTTGCAACCATCCGGCAATGTGGCCTTGGTGATGCAGATACGCTCTTGGCTGTCCCAGGGGTCCCATTTCGGTCCCGCCGGGGCTTCGCGCGCCGATTCACCGCAGCCCATACATGCATATAATCATTACGCAGCTTTAGGTAGGCGCGGCTCATGGGGGAAAGCAGGGGCTGGCGAGAAATCGGGGATACGGACACGCAGGCGGCAGGAGGCTAGGCGGGTCAGGAACACATAAGGTCCCATTTCGGTCCCGCCGGGGCTTCACGTGCCGATTCACCGCAGCTCATACATGCATATAATCATTACGCAGCTTTAGGTAGGCGCGGCTCATGGGGGAAAGCAGGGGCTGGCGAGAAATCGGGGATACGGACGCGCAGGGGCACCTACTGGGAGGTGCCTACCCCCCCAGTAGGGGGGGCGCCCTGTGCCCCGCGCCCCCGTGCCCCGCGCTAGGCGTGTCAGCGTGTCAGATAAAGGTTAGGCCATCTCCCCGGCCGGCTGTCCAGACGGGCGACGGCCGCTGTACCCCAAGAGACTGCATCGCGACAACGCAGCCTTCGAAGGCCTCGTCGACCGGTGAGAAACTAAGCAGCGATTACAGAGCGATCACCTCGATGTACGTTACATAGGTCTGGGATTAGAGCGAAGATTAAAAGGCAAGACCCTGCCATAAATACAAAGTGTATCTCGGAAGTCCGCTCCAGAACCACTACAGGTATCCCGCCAAACTACGATATGCAGGAGTTCTGGACGAGATATCAACAACCGGCCCCGTCACCCATCAGTAGTGTTATTAGTTTCTATTTATCAAAGCTGACTGGCTGGCTTACGGCTTTCGGCTTGAGACGGTTACTTGACCACTTTTTAACTTTTACCTTAACACTTCTTTCAACGCAGATATTTCAGTGCGTTATCTTTCAGATTTCAGAGGACGTGCAAGGGGTCGGGCCGAGGAATTTGGCAAGACGTCCGGCTCATGACACAAGACAAAATCCATAAGAAGACACAATCATAATCGTAAATATAATATAATGTAGAATATATATGTTAAACCTCCTCGTGGCGCGTTCGGTTGGTGTTCGGTTGGCGGTCCGGCGGAGCGCATGTTACCGGACCCTGCAGTACGCTCGTCCCCAGTCCGGGGGCGTATGCTACCTAACGCCAAAGGCGTTCCTTGTACGATAGGGCCTTATGGCACTAGCGTCCAACTCAGTTAAAACACTGATCTTTACCTAAAATCGGTATTATTCAATACCACCAAATTGTGGACTTCTAACTCCTTGAGTTAGTTAGTATACGACGCGGCACCCTATAGGGACCTAGCATCGTTACAGAGAGAGTGCTACTGTAAGGGATTTGTGTTCGTTACCGAGTACGTATGGTTTGTCTTTGATCGGTACGACTCTGTGTCGTGCAAGGCTTTGCCAGACTATTTAAGGCATTCCTACACCATTATTTGTAAGCTTAGTATTCTTCTCTTCCTTGTCTCTCAGTCAGCGATTGATGTCGGGCTCTGCAGATCGGGCAGGTTAGGAACTAATGCTTCCTCCAGTCGCCAACTGGAGCCAGTTCCTTTCATATGGTATCGAGTTATGGTTCAATCCTGCCTCGGTCCGTATTGGAGCTGTTTTCCCATCGTCACTGCTTTTGCACTTCGCGCCACCGCACGATCGTTTGTTTGCCGGCCCGTGTTGCCGGTCGTTCACCCGCATCTCGTAACTACCGGGTTCATCGCTCTTCGGTACTGACATTCAGCTTTGTACGCTACTGTTGTGTGCAAGTCGGCTCAAGTCGCTCCACTCCGAGTGTAACAGTTGGTGTCACAACTTGAAATCGGAGCTCTTTCCTTTTCAGTTGAATCAGAACGCCTTACCGTCGTTCGACAGCCGGCCAAGTTTGGACACCTTGCGCTGGACTGCAGTTTCACGTTCGTTTCGGGCTCAAGAATGGGCCATATCCGTTTGCTTCTATCGTTTGCGGAAGCTGACAACCCGCCGTCTACCTCGTTCGTTCAACGTTAATCGCCGTGCCCTGGTCGCCAGTATGCCTGCCCGTCGTGTAGGTTGTATGCGTGCTCGTGTTGCAGCAGCCTCCACGGCAGGAGTGCACCGGGTTGACAGCGACTGGATGCTTGCGTACCCCACGTTTCACGAGTTCAATCGTTTTCGTTATCTTCATCGTCGATCCAACGTCACGCTAAAGGCCATCACATCTCATCATGCCATGGAGCTCGATGTTGGCCCTTGTGTCTGTGTGCCCCTGTGTTTTGGCTCAAGTCGACCGGGGCGCCCAGCCGAGTGCTCAAAAGAGACCTACCATCACCTTCACGAGATTCTCCGTTCTTACTTTCCTTCGAGTTCTCATGTGTGCTTATGTGTGCAGTAGATGCAATCATTCCGGAGCTCACACAGTCATGCTTTTCATTTGAACCAAGCTATGCTGTCTTTGGGTTTTTCTTAGCTGGAACACCTTGCCTTATGTGGTTAGCTGTCTGAGTCCCATATGTAGTCATGCCATGGCATTGTATGGGGGTGCAGTTGCCTGAGCATGCCCACTGTTGTGATGAAAGCAGTGAGTTGCAGTATGCAAGGGAACCTTGTGCTTGCGTCTGTAATGGCAACGAGGACGTTGCAGTTTGAAAGACCGGGGAAATGTAAGGGATTTGTGTTCGTTACCGAGTACGTATGGTTTGTCTTTGATCGGTACGACTCTGTGTCGTGCAAGGCTTTGCCAGACTATTTAAGGCATTCCTACACCATTATTTGTAAGCTTAGTATTCTTCTCTTCCTTGTCTCTCAGTCAGCGATTGATGTCGGGCTCTGCAGATCGGGCAAGTTAGGAACTAATGCTTCCTCCAGTCGCCAACTGGAGCCAGTTCCTTTCAGCTACGGAGGACATAGCTTAACCTATATCTTGGGGTCTTTTGGGCGGGGCCCCAGCGCGAATCGCAAGATATCTCGGCTGTAGCCAACAAAAATCGTATGAGCACAAATGAGCACAAACAACTTTGGCTGCCTCAATTGACCGAGGCCAAAGTCACATCAACGACTCTCGGGTTAAATTTCATCTCAAAAGGTGCCGTGTATCTCATAATTGAATTCTGAGATGACAGCGTATGATAACTGAACACCCAGCTTGTGTTACAAGTTGCCCGCATGGGCATTCCGACTTGCCACCAGCTGGCCGACAAATTTGCTTACATTTCTCTATGAAATACGCAAGCTGCTTGTTTGTAAATTTACTTTAGCCAATGCTCGGGGCCTCCGGAGACTTGCGGTGTGCCGCGATGAAGCTCGCGGCTGTGGGGCGGATTGCTGAGGCCGCTGGTGCTTTGGGGATAAACATCACAGACAGCACCGAACTGCACCCAGCTTGCGTTACCAATTTGCCCCCACGGGCATTCCGACTTGCGGTCTGCCGCACTGTCCATGCGGCATGCACCCGGGATGGATGCGATTCGCATGGAGCCCGCAGGCGGTGCTGACGATTCCGCCGGTGCAAGCTTAGCATCCCACACCATCAGCACTGCTGCAACAAAGCACATCCCCCACAGCGGTGACACTAACCATCAATTGTCACACGTGCCGCGTTAGCTACCATCCTGTACGGATGCAGGGGGGCCCCGCCCTTTTTCTGGCTTCAAGGAAGCCGACACCCGTTCTATGAGCCAAATGACTTCATATAAGATGCTCAGGGCTACCTCTGTCAATACCCCTGGGATCACTTATCCAGAACAGTGCAATCAGCAAACCGTCAAATGCGGTGACACTTCCCTATACCTCAGTAGCCCTCACCATGAATACAATTTGCAACTCTTGCAAACAAAAGACATATAGGTCACATAGGATACAATCCTAGGCCTGTGCGACTTTTGGGTAGGTGACAGTGGGGTGATTACGAAACCTGAGAGCTGCCTGAGGTATGTAAGCATGCGCCTCGTCACGTAAGGCCCATTTATGACGTTTGCCATTCATAGACATAACAAAATGCACCATTTTGAGGTTGCTGACAGTTACCGGAGGTTTCGCGAGGTTTTACAGGAAGGTCAAAAATCGGACCTCAAGGCTGCCCTTTGTGCGGCCTGCCATTGCCTTCGCAATGTGTACCGAGTATTTATTCTGGTCGCTCGTCCATGCATCACGTTTGCATGCCCGTCACCGAACGACCTAGAGTCTCCAGACCTTTTTAACCGGGCTAACTTTTGGTTGGGCATTCCACCGGCCTCCGTTCATGGTGTGTGTGGGAGGTTGTGTGCCTCGCGGCCATTAGCTCACTCAATCTCGGCCGCCGTTTGTTGTTTAGGGAAGGTCTTCAGGCCAACATGGGCGTGTCTATGTCAATACTTAACTGCATTACCTACGATGTCATCACTGATTTTTGGGCTCCTTTAATTGCTTTTGCGGCACAGCAGTGTTTTTACAACAGTGTTTTTTTTCGTTTTGGGCCTAGTACCCTAGAGTAATAAACTGGGTGTTTCTTGCGGTTACGATTCCTATTTGTATAGTCGTTCTGGGGGGGGCGCAGCCCCCCCCCAGAACCCCCCCTCAAAGGCCTTACAGTGTGCTGTAAACAATTCTTCTTCTAAATGTTTGGGGCATTGCATCTGCGGAGTTTCTGAGCCGTTTGCTTTGGTCAAGAATGAACGAATGCCCCGTTGACCTAAGTTGAATGCAACAGCGGGCCGTCTCATGGTGATATCATGAAATATCTTATATTATATAGTGTATGAGCTCTTAATGGTCAGGTTTATATGTGCAGAAGGCATTTGGGGCGTCTTATGGCCAAAGTAATGAACCAGTACACCCAACTGACCCAACGATTCCATTTCTTCCAGGCTCAGACCCCCATTTATTCCCAAAAAAGTAATATATTACCAAAAAAACACTGGGGATAACCTGACAAATTGTTAAGGTAGACACAGGCTGGTGGTATACGAGGCTTTAAGGGCCCGAGACGGATCCCTTCAAAGGGGGGGGAATGTAGTAGCTGGTACACAGTACGGCTCTACAAATACGTGCGTAGCGCGACCACCAGCATCTCGAGAGGCCTTTTCAGCGGCCAGCTACTACATGATCCTACATCAGCCAGGATGTAAACCCAGGATACTGAGCTCTATCACTAGCTCACATTGTTCCGCCATCTACCTCACACACTTAAGGGTGTCATTTCCTGGCATAGTTGCCTTCTCCGATGAAAATGTCGATGGTGAGGTTGACAATACAGCAGAGGACTCCATACATGATGGCAGCATGTGTGGCAGTGAGCCCGTGGTCCGAAGGTCCAATCCCAACCCTCCTTGAGAGACTGCACTGCCTACGCCACCGGTAGCCGCTGCAGCCGCCACCGCAGCCTCCTCCACCACAGCAGTTGCAACGGCTCCAAGTACAGGTAGTAGTGGGGGTGGGGGTGGTGAAGGGCCACGAAGTGTCACACTGGGCGCTCGGGTTGTGCTCATGACCTGCTTGACAGCAGGCACCTTGAGGGCCACCTGCAAGGGGGTGACAAAATATGTGGCGCTTTACTTGTCTTTTTTTTCAATGCGGCTGGGCCCAGTACTATTGTTACATAGGGTTAGGTTTTTCGGTTTTACACATGGAAATGGACAGCCTTGGATGTCCCTTTGCTGCCAGGACCACTACTAAAACCTTCATAAAAGCTGTACATGACAGCGGCATCCCACCAACCCTATTCCACCCATCCACCCAACACCTTTTCACACCTTAACTCAGATGCACGCACCATCCATATCACACCTCCACTCTTGCCTGCACCATCCCGCACTGAACGGCGCATACTTCAACTCTTACCGACCGGCCCACCTGCAGTGCATACGTGTTGCGCTGTGGCTTGCGTGGGGCAGCCAGGGGCCCCAGCAACGCCTCCACCTCCTCAAGACTTTGGGCTGATTGGGCAACAAGAGGAAAGAGATAAGAGACAGGTAGTTTGTCAAGGTCACGTTGCATATTAATGTGTGATTAGATAGCTGACACTACATAGTTAAACAGGGTTTAGCCAGGTTGTTGTCGCGTCATACGACTGTAGCATCGAACAAAACACGTGCGTACGGCATTGTGGTGACATTGCACTCATGCTTGGGTCGGTGGCTCGTAGTCACTTGCAAGGGCCCCATGCCAACAAGCAGCACATATATACACACGTGGGATAGATGTGGCAAACAAATAGAAGCACCTGTCACGACAACCATAGTGGCGCCTCTTGTTACAAACCTGCTCCCGGTGCCGCATTCAGGCAGGACAAGGGCGCCAGAGGCAGGCAGTGCCGGTCGTGCTCCAGTGTATCGTCCTCCCACCACCATTGGTCACTGCCCGCCACTGCCACCCGGCATTGCCCTCCCGGTCCAGCACCCTTCTCCTTCTCCTTGTCCTGCCGCTGCTGCTGCTTTTCGTGGTACTGCATAACTGCTGGACCATCCGCATTGTTGCTGCTGGTTCCACTGCTGCCCTGCTGGCTGCTGCCGCCAGCGCTAGCAACACTCACAGAACCACCAGTAGCAGCGGCATCTGCAGCAACAATGCCAGTAGTAGCAGCAGCAGTGCGTGCTGCTGTCCGAGCAATCATAACCTCTGCTCGGGCTTGCAACGCCGCTCGTGAGGCACCAGGGCTAAAGGACAGCTCAACACGGAACCGCTCCGGGCTGCTAACAGGTACCTGTGTACAAGCACAAGTACAACGACTCAAAAGACAAAAAATGATTTTGCGCTTCAAAACAAAGCCTTCCCTGACATGTACGGTTGCTCATGTGTTGCTGTAGTCGCTGGTACACAGTAAGGCACACATAACGTCTACAAATACGCACTAAGTGCGTCCACCAGGATCTCGAGAGGCCTTTTCAGCGGCCAGCTACGACAGTTGCCATGGTTGGTTGATGTTCGTTACTGAGCAGTAGCAGTACACGTGGCAGCAGCATTTAAATTGACGTGCGAACATGATATATAAGCAAGAGTCACTACTGGGAGTGTAAGCACGAGGTCGAATATAAAAAAGCTGTAGAGCAGCAGTATATTGCGACAACACTCCCCTCATCACACTTCTAACTTCCATTTCAAATGACCTCCAAATAACTCACATGCTTGTTTTCAAACATACGGAATACGATCTGCGTCATGTAGTCGTACTCGGGCGCTGCTTCCAGCAGCTCCTGCCCCGGGGACCCAAGCAGGGTCGCTGAGAGGACCTGCTTCCCGTGCTGCTGCTGCTGCTGCTGCTGCTGCTGCTGGTGATAATGATGTGGAGCAACAGGAGCACCTTCAGGTGCCGCCACCCCCTCTGTGGTGTGGGTGCCGCCTAGGCCTAGGTCCCCAGCAGGAGGTAGCGGATGGTGACCCGCGGGGACTGCTGCCTCCGATGATGATGAGGCTAACAAGGGAGCAGCCGCAGCGGCATCATTGCCACGGCCGGGCTGCCAAGCAGTGCAGACGTTGGTGGTTGCGGCAGTGGACACGGTGTTGGAGGTGGGTTGCTGCTGCTGGTGTAGGTGGCAATATTGCAGCACATTCAGCAGGGCGTGGATGTGGCTCTCTGCACAACGAAGTGGGGACGGAATCATAAAAACAAATATCGATACCAAAGTCAAATTGGCCAGATGAATAAGTAGTACATATGGGCAGCAAGCGAAGCTCAAGATGGAACGACTCATGTGCCACATGACCAGTGGTCAACGGGGGGGGGAGAGGGCTGCCGAGGGCGGGGTGCCTCGGCCTCGCGTCTCACAAATGTGCATGTTGTAATATCATCGTCGGCGTCCACACATTCTGAGCTCGAACACACAAAACTCGGAAGGAAACCACTTGAAGCAGTAAACCACTGAAACAACAGTTAGCAATCTAAAGTTGTGTAAACCCCTAAGCACATGTATGGTGGTCATGACCACGTCACTGTATTATTCCAACCACCAACCAGCAACCCCCTTCCCTACCTGATGTGAAGTAGACCCGGGTACGCACGTGTCGCAACGGGCTGTTGATGTCAGTGGCGTACTGCGGACATAGCCGGTGAAGAGCCTGCGCCTCTTCCTCCACACCGTCACCCACGATGCCATTATTGCTGTCATCCTCACCCTCAGGCAACCCCCCGCCGTCACCACCACCACCCTCCCCCACTGCGGCTGCAACAACCATCTCGTCATCAGGGCCACGGCACCCCTTTGTGCACGCATCCGTCGCTGGCGCTGGTGCTGCCGCGGCAGGGGTACCAAATGCCGCTGCGTTGCTGCCGTCGCCAGCAGCATCACGGTGAGAGGCCATGCCACACTCGGTCAGTGGTCGCTGCGGTGGCGGCGGTGGTGGTGCTGGTTGACCAGCGACTGGCTCCGCACTATCAGAGGAGGCGACAGCAAACACCGTGTTGGCGGTCTCACATGGCGCCTCTATCGACTCATCAGTTGTACCACGCTCCACATCCACGGTGTCCGCGTACTCCTGCAGTTGCTGCCACTTGGGCGATGGGGGTGGAGGCGGCGGCGGCAGAAGCTGCTGCTGCTGCTGCTGCGTGGCCTTACCAGACATCGGTAATGGCGCCCGGCCGGTGGCGGCAGATCCCTCGCCTGCAGGCCGCACTGATGCTGCCACCTCCAGTCGCCCTCCCACGGCACGAAGCCGCTCATCCTCAAGTGACGCGCTGCCAAACTCCGAAACCATGGAATCCAGCAGCTGCGGCGCACCCCCCATACCGCCATAATCATTGCATGTAACCGCCCGCTCCAGAACCCCTGGTGGGCTCATCACAGCAGCCGCCACCAGTGCTGACGGTGCCAGCACTGGTGCTGCCTTACTGGCCAGGCCCAATCCGCGGGTCTCTCCACTGACGCCGCCACCAACACCAACACCAACACCAACACCATCTGCTGCTGCTTCGTGACCGAGTGACAGCTGCAGCTGCAGGTTATCACCGACGGTGCTGACAAGGCTGCCCAGGGCACTGCGTGTTGTCCTCTCACCCTCATCCTTACCCTCACCGTCACCTAGGGGTCCACTACCCCTGCTAATGCCAGCGCCACCTCCACCACCACCTCCACTTCCGCTGCCGCCACTGGTTGTGGATATCAGGGTGTATCCAGAGAGGCTGCGGAAGCTGCTGGTGGCACTACTCCCTGACGTAGGGCCCGCCTGGGCACCACTGGTGGGGGGGTTGGGGAGGATGGGGAGGTTGGGGCCACCAGGCGCTGATACACCTGCGCGGGGCCAATCAAGCAGCACACTGAAACCTTTGTACGCAGGTACGGCATATACCAGTAGGACAGGTAGACGGGGCCCACACGGCCCACATGCCCACTGCGAGGTTATGGTCGTGCACCTGGTGGCCGTGGCTTATGCACTTGTTGTTGTTTGACGTGACGGGTTACGATTCCACTAGTGGGATATCAGTCAAGCTGCACACTTAGCTGGGGGGAAATATGGGAATTTGACTGTCGACGTCATAAGTCGCGGAGGTGGCACACGGAGCTCTCCTTAAAACCCTTTCTTAGCTCCTTTTCGTGTTGCTACCTCCTGACTGCCCGGCTGCCTGGCTGTAGGCTTCCCGCACCCCCCTCCCCCCGCACTAACACTCCGAGATACACAGGTGCACAAACACGTAGGCGAGCTGAGTCGCCTCCTGCTGCTGCTGCTGCTTCTGTCCCATCAGCACATGCAGGACATACACCTCCCCAAGCAATCCCCCCACCCCAATCCCTCAAGCCACCCTTTGCCCCAACCTCACCTTGCGTGGCCAGGCTCTCCTCCCTCATGGCTCCCATGTCCGCCAACAGCTTGCCCAGCAGCTCTCGACAGATAGCCGAGCCGATCACCAGCTTGGACTGCGGAGGGACCCATGGGTCGGTGGCATGTATAGCAGCAAGTGAACGAGTTCAGACGGCAACCACGGCAATGACAACAACCTCAACAGCAACAGATTTCAATAAGCAACAATCCATAACCATTAACAACAACGACTGAACCCCGCACAGGCTTCGAATGTTGCCTGGTCGGTGATCAGGAGCGAGGCGGTGGCTGGCTGGCCAACAACATTGAATGACACCGCACAAGTATCGCCATCCCCGAACACACCTGTGGTGCAATGCCGTACTCGTTCGGTACGACAGCATCCGCCAAGCGGCGTGCAATCAAGTAGAGCGGCGCCATGATCTCACCCAGGACACGCACAGGAGCCACACCTGCTTCAGGTGCTGCCGTACATTCCATGCTTACTGCCGTACCTTCCGTATCCCTCCTCTTCACGTGTTTACATGAAGACACAGGAGAAGCAGGTTCGGCGGCGGCTGCTGCCCTGGCAGGTGGTGGAAGCGAGGGACCTGCCGTGGCGGCAGCACCCAGCCGCGGTCCGGCAGCACTGGTGCTCTCAGTCCCCACCGACCCCAGGGGTGCAGCGGTGTCGAAAGCCTCGGCCGCCTTGCCACCCGCATCAAGGGCGGGGTAGGCAGCGGACTCCACACCAGGGCCGCCAGCCACGGTCCCTTGCGGCGGTGGCGGAGGCGGAGGCGGCTTCCCCCCCGGCGATAACGGCTCCAGATGCAAGGAGTCCAGGGATGGGGCCCGCAGTGGGCCCGGTGCCGCCACCACCGCCGCTGATGCAGCCGGCGCTGCCAGTGGCGGTGTTGGCGGTGGGTGCGGAGGATCCAGGGGCAGGTAGGCGTTGTGGATGAGGGCGTGCTTTGCGGCATCATAAATGTCAGGTACCTGCGGCAAAGAGGCGACCGAATGATGCGCAGGACTGGCCCCAGTGACATCGATCACCTCATGCAGGGGGAGCACCTGAGGGCCTTAGGCTCGGACGCGGGTGGGTCAGTTGAAAAAAGGTCAGGTGGGGATTCTGCCGTACTGGCATCCGGGTTATTGTGTCGCAAAGGGGCTCCATTATAATTAAACGAAATCGACTTCGGCTTCAAGCCTATGTCCGTACCTTGCTAATATCGTACAGCCCTTTCTTCGGTGAGTAGAAGCTGTCCAGCAGCTTGTGCCATCTGTCGTACAGCAGCAGCCAGCGCTCGCCACCGCAAGGTTCCCCCTGCTCGGACCTCCACTCGTCGGGCGACATACTCAGGCTGCTGTAGTACAAGTGTGGCGGCGGCGCGGCCTCCGCTGGGCCCGTACCGCCCGTGCCGCTTCCTCTGACGGCGGCGGCGCCCACATGTGCCGCCGCATGATGCGCCGCCGCCGGTCCCTTAATCTCCTCCACCAAGTGCCGCAACTGCCGACAGAGCTCCTCCAGGAGCTCCAGGGGCCGCTCCGGCAACCCCTTGACGGCGGCGGACCAGGGGCCCCCTGACGGCGGCGGCGGCGGCGGTAGCGGCCCAGCAGCAGGACCAGCTGTATGCCGCCGTGCTGCTGCCACAGAAGATGACGACGATGATGTTGTTGATAATGTACGGGAGGGCGGTAGGGAGCTCTGACAAGACATACTGGGTTGCCGCTGGGTCAGCAATGGCTCGGCCTGTTGCTGCTGCTGGTGGCGGTGCTGTGGGGGTGGCTGCTGCTGCTGCTGTAGCTGCTTCGTTGGCGGAACTGGCTGTGGCGGCGGCGGCGGTTGCGACGGTGGCGGCCCCGCTGACATCTGTGACATCGTCACCACGTCCATGGCCGCTTGCGGCAGCAGCGCTGGGAATCGCGCCGGGCCGCCACAGCCCCCGGAAGGTGGTGCAGGCGGTGGCGGCGGACCCGTCGTACGCAACATGTTGAGGCTAGTTACCCGTGGCGGGCCGGTGGGGGTAGTGGTGGCGGCGGCGGAGGGCGGGTGTGGTGGAGTGGAGGCGGGGCGGAGCTTGGGCGAGGGCGGCGGTGTGGGCGCGGGGGACGGCGGCGGGGGTGCGGCGGGCAGCTTGCAGCGGGACACCCGGGCAGCCGGGTCCCAGGTTAGCTGCACGAGGGAGGGGGGGGAAAGACGAACCACACGCGATTTAAGCTGCTGCCAGAGCAAGATAGTAGCAACCGAAAGAACTGACCGAAAGGCGTTCGTGGCGACTGTGACGACTGTAACCTCGGGATGACGACTGTAACCTCGGGATGAAGAATTGACGTAGAAGTAGAAAGTCCTACCTACCTAAGCCGCCAGAAATATTATAGCCAAACCGTAAACTAGTAGTAGTAGAAAAAGTAGTGAAGGCGGCGAGAGAAAATATTATGACGTAGAAGTGTTGTAAAGTAGCTGGCCAGGAGAGAAAGCTGCATTGCTGATACTGAAAGGCTGCCGGTATGCAAGTGTTCCTCCCAACCCCCCCAAAAAAAACTAGAACGCGCGACTGACCCGACCGACCCAAACTAAACTATTCCAGCTAGCCTACCGACGCCAACGCGAAATACCAAAGCTCGAACCACCTTATGGACTCACCTGGCCAGGCAGCAGGAGGCGCGGGCAAAGGCACATGCGAGGCAGAGAGGTGACAAAAAACGGGAGGGGGGGGAGGGCCCGGGGAGGGAGGGGGGGGGAGGGCCCGGGGAGGGAGGGGGGGGGAGGGCCCGGAGGCGACACCAGCAGCGGCAGTGGAGGCGGTCCAATGCAACGCAGAGTACATGAAGCTTCTACATTGCCCTTACCAGGCAGTGAGTAGCCGCCAGTGGGCCGCCAGTGGGCCGCTGTCTACCACCCCCTCTCTCCCGCGGGTGGCCACCACCTCATCCACCTCATCCCGTCACCCTCATCACCCGCCAGCCTTCTCTGTTCAGCTTCTCTATTAAACTTACAGACTTTCTGTGGCCCACAATACCCCCCCCCCTCCCGGCCCCCCTCCCGCGCCCACCCGCTTGTACAGCTCCTCCTTGGCTGCCCGCATGTCGTACGAGGCGCCCTTCCCGAAGGCCTCCAACATGGCCGCATCCTTGTTGACCAGCGATGCCAGTATGGGGGTGAGGGAGGTGCCCTCCAAACACAGCAGGCCCTGGGTAAAGGCGGCGGCGGAGGTCTGATGGGGGGAAAAGGGGGGGAGGGGGGGGAGACGGACCACGAACGAGTGAAGCTGCTGCCAGGGCAAGGGTGTACCAGGAGCAGAAGTGACTAAAAGGCGTTCTCGAAGGCGGCGACCTCGGGATGATGTAGTGAAGATGATGCCGGAAAACTACCTACTAGCTGCCAGGACTAAAATAAGCGCGGAAGAAAAGCAGTAATGCCAAGCCGTAAAGAAGTAAAGGTAGGTGTAGAGGCGGCGGAAAAGTAGTAAAATGCTGCTGACGTAAAGCTGGAATAAAGTTTGCCGCCGGCCTGGCGGCGGCATTGACGAGGTTTGGCGAAGAACTGGTTGATTAGCTGGTAAGAAAAAGCTGGTGATACGCAAGTGCTCCTCAGAACCCCCGGAAAAAACGCACGACCGACCCGACCGACCCGACTATCCTAGTCCGGCTAGGCGACCGACGCAACGCGATATACCGACAAAGCTCGAACCTCCTTCGGACTCACCTGGCCAGGCAGCAGAAGTAGCGGCAGGGGCACATGCGAAGCAGAGAGGTAGCAAGTTTGTGAGCAGGGTGTGATCAAAAAACAAAAATACAGGCGAGTGCTGCTGCAAGAAGTTTTGATTGGCTGGCTGAGGAAAAAGAAGAAACTAAGTGGAAGGGGAAGAAACAAGATGTAAAACTAGAAGCTTAACAGGAAAGGCGGCGCAGGATGACATAGGAAGTGTCGTACTGGAAGGAGGCCTTGACGGGGGAAGGGGGAGAAAGACGAACCACACGCGGGGAAGGGGGGGAGGGGGAGGAAGGTTCAGGAAATCCCGGTGCTCCCACTAATGCTCCTCTATAGCTGCCACTCCACCACTCCGCCACTCCACCACATCAACACAGCAACGCCAAGCCAATAATCCCTCCCTCCTCCCCTTCCCATCCCCGCCCCCCTAACCCCTAACCCCCCCCCCCACACACACACGCCCGCACCTGCACACGGCCCTCGTCTGAGGAGTACACCTTGAAGTCGTGGCGGTAGGTGGAGTGCAGGCGCAGCAGCCCGCCACCCGCCGGACCAGCCCGGGGGTACATGCCCGTACGGAAGCGCACCCCTAGGGTTTCCGCCTGCGCTCTGCCCGCATGAGTCAGCACTCCGCCCCACTTGACGATGAGGAGGAGGGAGCCGGGACCGCCGGAGGAGGACTTGACGGTTGGGGTGGCGGTTGGAGTGGCGGTTGGGGTGGCGGTTGGGCCCGCCAGTGGCCCTGCGGCGGCTGCACGGGAGGTCAAGTCAGGAGGGGGATGTACGGGGATGTACGGCATATGGGTGGGGAGGATCTGGGCATGGGTGTTGACCGATTTCGGGCATCACATGCGGTCCACCCCCCCACCCCCCCACCGGACTACCAATGAGCCCAACAGCCCCTCCCCTCCCCTCCCTGACTGGTTAGACCGCGCGACTGCCAAACCAGGAGCTGCGGGGGGGCAGCACAAGGCGGGAACGGAATGGGTTCACAGCTCCCGGGAGGGCGGGGGGGTGTGAGAGCCACTTACGATATCTTGCGTGGGGATGGGGGTGTGGATGAGGGTGCAACTGGGTCCCTTCACCGCCGCCACTACTGCTGCTGCTGCTAGAGCTCCCGGCGCCGCTGCCAGACATCGCCACCGCTAAGGGTGCCGCCGTCACTGCTGTGGTTG